CATCTCTGCCTCACAGAGCTCCCCTCCGCTCAACATTAGCCAGGGCGTCTTCCAGGAGTCATCGTTGGGTCCTCTCTTGTTCAGCATCGTCGTTAACGATCTTACCTTGTACGCTGGCGACTCTTTTATCATTCAGTACGCCGATGACACCCAGGTTTTAGTCTCTGGACACAAGTCCGAGCTACCTGACCTATCTTAAAACTCGAGGCATCTCTCCAGTCGCTTGGTGATTACTTTCATTCGAATGGTCTTAAACTTAACGAGTCAAAATTCGAGCTACTTCCCATCGGCTCACGTCAAAATCTGCGAGACCTCCCACCGTTCACGGTCAAGTTTCGGCAAACCGTGCTATCACCTTGCACTGAAGCAAAAAATCTCGGTGTCACTTTTGATCGCCATCTCACTTGGGACTCACACGTATCGCAACTGTCACAGAAGTGCTTCGGCATCCTTATCGGTCTCTCCCACATCCGCCACTACCTACCATCCGGTACTCTCCCAATCCTTGTGTCTGCCCTCGTCCTTTCCCACGTCCGCTACTGCCTCTCCGTCTATGGCAACGGGTTTGCCAAGAACGTTTGCGGTCGCTGCATCCGTTACGTTCAAGCTATGTGGACACGGAACCCGGCATCTTACGCAGTATTTACGCATCTTGAGTGGAGAACAAGATGTAATCCTAAAAAATCCTCAGGTGTAAGGAACTAATACGTTAACCCTCGCCCATGTAGGGGGGGGGGGTTGGTGCAACCCCCCCCCCTGAGTTTTTTCGGGAATAGTGCAAAAACGGCGGCGCGGCGCCAAATTTTGGGTACCTTATGGGGCAAACCTTGCGCATCTTTTGATAAAAAAAATTTGACCGGGTCATGTCAGGTCACGGAGTTATGACGTCACAAAGGGAACAGCCTCCGGCCGGATTTTCACAAACTGAGTGCCAACGCCCGAGGTTTCCTGCCGGTGGTACGGAGATCGGTTGATGGATCGTGATGAAACTTCCCATGCATGTTGGGGCAAGTATTGGCTATCATATGGTATAAGAAACTTGACCGGGTCAGGTCAGGTCACGGAGCTATGACGTCACAAGAGGAACAGCGTCCGGTACTATTTTTTAAAAGCGCCCGAACCACTATTTTGCTAATTCTTGTCACCTCAATGGGAATATGCAGCAATATTAGCTTCTATAGGGAGCAAATGGACTTCCCAAATCCGAAAATACAATCAGATTTCAAAAATTTTAATTTTGATTTTTCGAATTTCTGCCGCCGACTGTGACCTTGCCGATTTCCGGCGCTCCCAACGCGCCATTTTTAGAGCTAGGGAAACGAAATACATACCAAACGATAGAGAATTGATCAAGGAACACGATAGTGAAGGTTCCAAGTCGATATCTCTCACCGTTTTGCCGTAATCGCCGCCGAAAGTTGAAAAAAGTCTATTTTTCCGAAAATTTGACCTTTGACCGGTCAAAAGTAGGTCAAATGTTGACCTAGGACCAAAAAATATACCACCAATCGCGAGATCTCGGCGAGAGCAATCCGTTGGTCTTTTCCGCTAAGCTCTACGACGCTCCGTTTTCAAACGCCAAGGGGGGGGGGTCGCACCAACCCCCCCCCCCCCCCCTGCATGGGCGAAGGTGGCAGATCGCCGTTTACGGGCGAGGGTTAAACCCTTATAAGTCAATGGGGAAATATTAAAATTGCTATTTTGGCGCCGAGAATGATCTGAAACTATCTCAAGCATATAGAGTCATGATTTCATGCACTCTTTGCAAGGTTCTATGCTTCATATTTGCATTGTTGCCCTTGCGTGACGTCATGTGTGACGTCACAAGGGCCACAATTTATCTTCAATAACTCCCGATCAAATTGAGCTAGCGAGTCGGGAAAGCCACCAATGCACTCAGGAAGACCTGCCGAATCGAATGATATGCGACATGACCTCTTTCGACCAACTTCGTGACCTGGGGGTGCTGACCTGACCTTGACCTGAGGTAAACACCCTTAGTTGACCTGACCCGAACAAAAAGCATATCACTCGATGCGCCTGAGCTAGCTGAACACGATTATGCCAAAATCGCGGCTCTACGGCCATTTTTGGCGAAGTTATTTACCAAAAACCGAACCCGTGCCTTAGATCACTTGACCTGACCTCAGAGGTCACCGGTTGACCTGAGACCCTTACAGAGGGTTCCTACCAGTCACTCTGCATTATACTTTGCCGCATACGACCACGTTGCCACTTAGTTCTAGTTTAATTAGCGGCGCATTAGCGAGGTGGGTTCAATCAACACCCTCGGCCGGGGCAAATGTAGGTCCGGCGAATGAATTTGAGGAATTCTGAAGATACGATCGTGTTCCCCACTCAATTCTGCGTAAGATGCCGGGTTCCGTATCTACGTAACTTGAACGTAACGGATACGGCGGCCGCAAACGTAAATCGAGGTCCCGAATTCCCTATTCCTCAACACAGGCGGCAGCCGGTTCCTGGTCTGCGCAATATGGCCGCCACCGTTAGACACTACGGCCAATAGGGTTGAAGCGGCAGTGCTCCCCTGTGGGGTAAACTTAAATCCGCGCCACTTTCGCCTCCTGCAGCTACTATTTTCTTCTTGCGCAAAACTGAAAGATTTTGCGCGAACCTACGTCACACGTGTGACGTCATACGTCGAAGGGCGGAGCTTAGCACCCGAGAGACCCCAACTGCGCATGCGTGGTGCAAAATTTTGCAATAGGATGCGCTGCCCGAACAGGGCTCTGAGTACGGTCACCCAGTCTGAGCGAGCTACGCCATCGATTATGACCCGAATCTGATCACCACCAGCCGCTGCCCGTTTTTCAGCTCTAAAAATAGGTTGTGCACCTTCATATGTGCATACTCACACCCATTCTGATGCACACAGTCAATGCACTTTGTATCTTATCCCTTAATCGCACGGCAAATTTGATCGAAATCGGCCTTCAGCTTTTCAGCTGTTATTGTTGGGTGTGCACTTGCGCACGTGCATATTCAGTGCTGGAGGACACAAAAATGCAGTTTGTTATTTCCGAATCGCACACCAGCTTTTACTGAAATCGGCTTGTCCGTTTTTAGCTGTAAATATGGGGTGTGCGGTGTGCACGTGCGCACGTGCATTATCACACCTTTGTCGACTTAGAAAAACTCGTACACAGTCAGCATCCAATCACACAAAATTTCATTGTAATAGGTCAGTCCGTTCCTGAGCTATGACAGATGGGTATGCACGTGCGCACGTGAGCACGCACAGAGCTACAGGCTCCTCGGTACACGGCACCCTACCTACTGGTCTCTTGCGATGTGCCAAATATGAGCGCAATCGACACAGCCGTTCTTCAGACGTGGGAGCGGCATCTTGCACGTGCGCGCGTGCAATATGGGCCCCAACTGACTTTCGCAAGGCACCCTTCTCGCCGGTCTCTAATCGTGTGACAAATTTCAGCGCAATCGGTCCAGCCGTTCTCGAGATCTGGAGGCGACCCCTGCACGTGCGCACGTGCATTACCTCGCATTCATCGACTTAGAAAAAAACTCATACACATCCAGCACCCAATCATACACCAAATTTCATTGCAATCGGTCACTCCGTTCCTGAGATATGACAGAGGGCCAGAGGGGTGTGCACGTTAGCACGTGAGCACGCGCAGAGCTACAACCTCCCCGGTGCACGGCACTCTACTTACTGGTCTTGCGAGGTGCTAAATTTGAGCGCATTCGGCCCACGCGTTCTCGAGATCTGGAAGCGGCACCCTGCACGTGCGCAGTGCAATATGGGTCCCAACTAACTTTTGCACGGCATCCTTCTCACCGGTCTATAATCGTGTACCAAATTTGAGCGCAATCGGTCCTGCCGTTCTCGAGATCTGGAAGCGACCCCTGCACGTGCGGACGTGCAATAGCACCCCAACCATGGCATACGGATATGCATTGCCCGGTGGGTGCCTACATGCATGCCTAGTCTCAGCGAAATCGCCCCAGTAGCTGCCGAGTTACTGTAATGGGAACAAATTTAACATCTCTTCTGTTTTTTTTTTTGCATTTTGCACGTGCAGCGGGGGTCACTCACGTGCACCAAGAGCATCCAATGTTTGTTAGAAGGGATACAGTTACTCTACAAAAGTTACCGGAAGTCAACCGGCCCAGTGGTTACTGAGATATAGGCCTCTCAAAATTGTTACTCCAGCAGAACAACTTGAACACCCCGACTTTTCACGTGCCACGTGCCACGACGGTCACCTGAATGCACCACGATAAGTGCATTGCGTGGCAGAAAAGATGGAGCTACCCAACAAAAAAAGACCGCAGGCGAATCGGCCCAGCGGTTGCTGAGGTATCACTCATATCAGCCTCTCAAAATACTGATTAAAAATCCGTCATTAAAAATAAGAGGCCAAAGTGACGTCTTATTTTTTGCGCCAAAAACGAGTGTCAAATCCAGGTAAATTCATGTTATCTATGCATCATGCAATAGTCTGAGTTTCAAACTTCTAAGATATAATCTTTAGGAATGTAAGAATCACATTTATTTAAGCTTGGTCACTTCACTTTACCTGGTGACCTGAGCTTGTGTGACTGTTGTGTCCGGTGATGCATTATGGGTAGTGTCCGGTGATGCATTATGGGTAGTGCGTGGGGGAGTAATGGCCGAACCTTGGATGAGTGTGCCACGTGTTGGATTTGGAATAAAGCAAGTGGAAGCGGAGATTAATAGTACGCAAAGGGCAGCCGAAGCTGACGATACAACAGTGACCTAAGGCCAAAAATTTTACACACGATGCGAAATTGACGTATCGTTCCGCGGCGCTGCGCGTCGCAGTTTTCTTTTCACACGCAAAAAAAAAAAACTGGGCGGTGTGGCTAAAAACGCCCCTCCCCACCCGGTCGAAGTTTAATGCTCAATTTTTCCTACTTTACGATCCTCTGCTACGTTACCTCTCCCTCAGATATGCCTGAACGTCATTACGGAACGGCATTCCGGGCGTGCGGAGGGCCGTAACGCCGTCTGCCGGGCCGTTATCGCGTGAGGCGCGGGTGGCGCGGCTCGAGAGGCTACCACAGAGCTGATAGCGGCGCACCGAGCCCACTCGCACAAGGTCTCGGCCAACAACACCGGCAGACCGGCACCGTGGCGCAGCCAGTCGACTCAGCGGCCAGCCGACCAGACAGACACACACTGCCCAGATGGCCCGCAGGTGAGCGACAAGCGCACGGCGCCCACTACATCAATAGCCACTTTGTTTGACAGTGATGTGAAAAACGAATCAGTTAATGCAAATGCAACATGTGTAAAAGCACGCACGTCTTAAATGTTTAAAAACAAAGAAATGTCGCATAGCTCTAAACCTAACAGGATAAAGATACCGGGTGATCATTAACCCGCGCCCTGCTGGGCTATTCAGCCATACGCGCCCTGCTGGGGGGGGGGGGGGGCAGATTCTGCCTCCTTCTGTCTAACTTCCGAACCGATGGTCGTAGAAAGACGGGGAAAACGGCAACCGAAAGCTCTCAACAAGGCGGATCTTAACCCTCGCCCGTAAACGGTGTTTTGCCACCTTCGCCCATGCAGGGGGGGTTGGTGCGACCCCCCCTGGCGTTTGAAAACTCTCTGCTCTCAACGAGATCTCGCGATTGGTGGTATATTTTTTGGTCCTAGGTCAACATTTGACCTACTTATGACCGGTCAAAGGTCAAATTTTCGGAAAAATCTAACTTTTTCAGATTTCCGCGCCGATTGCGGCAAAACGGTAAGAGATATCGACTTGAAACCTTCACTATCGTGATCCTTGATCAATTCTCTATCGTTTGGTGTGTATTTCGATGTCATAACTCTAAAAATGATGCGTTGGGAGCATCGGAAGTCTGCAAGGTCATTTGTGCATTGGGTCACGTCAGGCGTGTGACGTCACTGACCTGACCCTGACCCAAAATGAACTCCAAGAAACAACCGACGATGCCTGAAATGGATAGCAAATTCGAATTCAGGGCATCAAAATACCCCGAAAAGGCATACAAGTGCAATAAGTCATTACAGGTCAACCGAGGTCACTGACCTGACCTTGACCTTTAGTAACCTTGAAAAGGTCAACGGACATTGTGCCAATGTCAAATCAGCCAGTTATGATTCTAAAACAATCCATCAGTGTGTCAGGTCGGCATTTATAACAATGTGAAGCAATCTCCAATTTAGCGTAAATCTGGCCGGAGGTTGTTCCCTTTATGACGTCATAACTCCGTGACCTGACATGACCTTGACAAAAACAAAAGTTGCGCAAAGGATGCCCCATAGGGTGCTGAAAATTTGAGCAGGCTATCTGAAACGGTTCGGCGTGTAGCTAAGAAAAACCTCAGGGGGGGGGGTCGCACAAGCCCCCCTACATGGGCGAGGGTTAAGAGCCGATTTTTTTTTTTTTTTGCTTAAAGGTAGATTGTCAGCTAAAATACAAAATTTGATCTGTGGTAGAACCAGCACTCCACTTTACGAAACTGAAATCAGATTTTCGAAATTCGGTCTGAGTCACGAGTAATTTAATGTTGAAACTAGGATTTCACCTACTTTTTATACTATTTTTACGTTAAAACCCACTAGATTCCGCAACTATCACTATATTTGAATCGCGTGAAATCGGAGCTTCTCTACGAAACTTCAAATCAAAAGTTAATTTACGGTTTTTCCGAATATCAACATAATAATATCATGCTAGGTTATGAAAATTCTGAATGTATTACCAGTTAAATTATTTTCAAAAACCGTTGGCGTTTCGCATTTTTCATTTTGCAAAAAGAAAGCAGAAATCGATTCCCCGATGCTGTGGCTTTGGACAAGCTTTGGAGATTAGTAAACGTTAGTAGGGTAGGGTGGGGCAAAGGGCCCACCCTACCTTTCGGGACTCCCTATCTCTCTGTTTTTCATATTTGCAAGAAAAAAACGAAGGTACAGTTGTAGACTTCATTAAAGGGTTTAAAAATTGAAAGGAATCGGCATAAATTTCCAATCAATGAACTCCCCAGACTCTGCCGATTCTAACGATATGCATAAAATGTAAATCGGTACCAAAATTTGCGAGATATAGCCGTTTCAAAATTGACAAAATTGTACTTACTCACGCAAAACAAGTAGGGGAAGGTGGGGTAAGACGGCCCAGCGGGGCAAGACGGACCACCAGCCCTCCCGGCTGAACCGCTGCTGGTATCTACTGCTTTATGCACTCACTGTGTTTGTTTTCCTTCGTAACAATGGCCACCATGAGCTCATGCTGCTAGGATGCATAGCTTTTGAGTTATTGAGAAAAATGTTGTTTTTCGTCAAACCGATTTAATATAAGAGGTCTGCGGGTGATTCAATTACGGCGCCTTTCTTGCATTATTAGTTTCTATTTTGCACTTTACTGTGAAGAACAAAGTTATAAACTTAGTTATAGTCACACTTTAGGAAAGGCAAGGTTTTGCAATGTTGGGCTATTTGACATATACTTCATGATAATGACAGAATTTAGATTTGGGGCAAGACGGACCACTGTGGTCCATCTTACCCTGTGGTGGTCCATTGTACCCTGCATATGGAAAGTTCTTTTCCAAAACATTGACACAAGTTTAAGTAAGCTAATTTTTCAGGAAGGAGTCTTTGTTGCATGTGAGCCATGCAAGCAACTGCTCAGTTAGCATGCATTCATGCCAAACGATAATCAACACACATGTTCCCAGCGTTTAGCTGCACTTCCATCACACATGAGTAAAGAATAAAGGCTCATTTCGTTATTTTACCATTCTGGTTAATTTTTCTTACAAGAGCACAGAGCAGAAGTGTAACACACATGAACGGATAGCAGGCACTGCTGGGTGGTCCGTCTTACCCCACGTTTTTTCTTGTCTGAGTTTTTGACATGTCCCTCTTTAAGAGCATCCACCACCTAGATGTCTTTAATTTGAAATTTAGTCTTTACACATATCAACAGAGGAAGGATTGAGCATTCCGAAGACTATAAATAATATGAATTACGAGAGCAGTGTAGCAAGATATGCGGCCTCAAACCTTAGCTGGTCCGTCTTACCCCACCTTCCCCTACTTGGGCGGCCAAGTTGGCCCATCGCTAAAATGTAAATAAAGAGCAGCCTTGGGAAATTTCGCCAAGGCCGCCGCACCGCACTGGCGATTTCCGCAAGACTTTTCCATTGTCTGTTTTGTTTTTGTCTGTTGTTTTTAGAGCCTTGCAACAAGATTTCAGTGCTTGGCATTGGATTTGGATATGAACAAATTGAAGATTTGCTTTTCAATAAGACAGCAAGAGTTATCAACATTGCCAAAGTTATTATTTGGGTGTGATTTGAATAGCTTGTTTGCTGATCATCAAAATCTTGATGTAAATATCATTTAAATGTCAACAATTTTCAAGGGTAAATTTGAGTGTTTTATTTCAATAAATTGAAATGTAAGTGCATCAGGCACAAGAGCTAAGTTTGAATCTGATTATTTTGTCAAGAGTGGTGAATCTAATGTAACGTCTTGCGAGAAAGCTTACCTAAGTGACTGAAGAAAGCGCTACAGTTTTTCAAGATCTATGTTGATCTGTTTTTCGAACAACAGGTCGTACAACATGATGTTGTGACTTGACCTCTGTGCCCTGTACGTCTCCCCTGCTAGTGCTGCTGCAGCAGAGCCCCGGCTTCAACTATAGTTTGTTATGGGTGGGCTCTCCGTGAACGTCTTGGTGCGTTTCTACATATCGTTGCTGTGAAAGGACGGTACATGAAAGAATATGTAACTTGTATGTTTTTTATTGCCCTGGTACCTACTTAATGTATATTTTTGTTGTTTATGAGTGATAAATGAATATATTTTGAGGAAAATTGAGGCATTTCATTTTTAGTTTGTGGAACAGAACAGAAGAAGCTGTTGAGTGCGGATCATGCTTCAATTGAGAGAATCATCCTCAGTTATCTACATATAAGCATACTTTGTAAGCTCCTTGCATTTTGCCAGCTTCTACTTGCTAGTCAAAGTTGTAAGAAGGGTTAGGGAGAACAATTGGGACACATGCCACCATGTGCAATCACCAAACGAATGAACGTGAGGGCCAAGTCCTTCACACAGCATGGTGGATACTTATAGGTACTGCACTAATGTATAATGTTCATTATGTTCATATTAGCAACTCACCCAGGCAGCCTGCCTTGTGGTATTTCTGAGTTTAAGATTTTGTAAGACTCACACTAATCAATAAGGTAAATTATATTGATATGTGTTACGGATTACGTCTTGTCGACTGCTGCGGCTGTGGGCTATCCGCTTGGATGGTGGTGCCCACTGCTGGGCCGATAGTGGTGCCATCTAGGTGCTCTGAGTACCGAGTCCTAGAGTAGATAAAATGTACTACTGTAAAGAATATGGCTGCATTTGGCAACGCTTGCGCCAGTTATTTGTGTCATTGCGCCGGTTATGTCGCTCTTTTTGTTTACATTTCGGTAGATTTTTCGTCGTTTGTTACTCTTGTCCTGATTGGTTATAATCGGACGCGTAGTAGTTGTTCGCCAATGATTGAAGGGGGCTCAAATGCGTCTCTTTTCGCGGGCTTCTGGCCCCCATTCTTCGTTGAAAGGTCATGTCGGGAGATCGTTCGTGGATCGCTCGTGAATTTCGTGTCGTGATCGAATCTGAGGTCAAATAGATTCGAAGGTCAAGAGAGCAGAGTGTTTAAGCCCTGAGCCTGGTCAGTGAATTTTCCGTCCGCAACAGTGGTGCCGAAATCTCGGGACTCAGTCAGTCAGCATGGCTGAGTTAGAAAAACTTCGACGGCGGAAAATAAGTGCTCAGGGCTGGCTCACAAGAACTGTTTCCAAGCTAGAAGGTGTATTGTCTAGCAAGGACGTGCAGAAGTTGCCTCTGTGTGATTTGCTGTCCGAGCTAAAAAAGCGGCTGGAAGATTTCGACTTGGCTGAGGCCGACTACGAGATGGAGCTGCCCGATACTGACATAGCTGCTGCCATCGAAGCAGCTGGTGAGGTCAGGGACCAGGCCGTGCTCTCCAGGCAGAGAGCGGTCAAGCTGCTGGGAAACATGGAGGAGAGTGCCGAGGCTGGATCCAGCTGTTCCTCCTCGGATAAGGTCAGGCTGCCCAAGCTGCAGCTGCCCAAGTTTGCTGGGGATGTGCTGAAGTGGCCCCAGTTCTGGGAGGCGTTCTCAGTGACAGTGGACAAG